TCCGGCTTTCTCGCACTTACTAACCGTGCCTTGCAGCCTCCCCCAAAGTAGCGTCACCCTGGCTTTCTCGCTCTTACTCACCAGTTGACCAATAATGCATCTCACGCGGTTGCTTCATGGTAAAACTGCAGCTCGAGGTCCCGGCGTTCTCGCTCTTACTAACCCGGACCGACACTGCAGAGAAGCATTGACTGTTGTTCCCTCAGCGGAGGCGAGGCCGAACAACCATTCCGCTGCATCAGCGCAGCCAGGCCCTCAGCTCCTCACTGAGCCAGGGCTCTCTTTAGACAGAGTTCCCCTGCTGGCAAGCCCTCTATCTCTTGTGACCCCCGCGGTGCCACGTATAAGCAGCTGCACCGCGTGTCTTAGGACCACAGTTTTCATTCGGATTTGTTGTTGTAGGCCTTCCAGTGCTTGAGGCCGAATCCAAACACCACATCTCACGTCACAAGGCTGGCAATTTGGCTCCAACATCTGAAGATAGTAACACATACTCTGCGTGGCGTCCGCGTGAGCTAGCCTGTCCTTTCTTTAGGAGTTCGGCTCCTTTCATCGCTTGTCTTACCACAGGTCTCTTTCGGTGGCCCGTACTCAGCAGCCAGCACATGTACCATCCTCAGACGCCAGAGCCGCCTTGCCCCAGCAAGTGCCCATACAAACCACTCACCAGATAGTGAGAGCCAACATCTTCAAACAACCTCCAGCGGCCGTGCCGCGAGGACCTAAACATCTGCAAGGTTCCGCCTTGTCTGTGTGCACGGACAGACCCCAGCCCTTGCAGGAGACGTGGATGTAAACAAAAGCAGGCCTGCCATGTCCAGCAGGCTGATTACCATTGGTTGCCTTCAGATGGGAAAAGCGCGAAGATCGGGTAACCTCCATCTGAATCCTTTCCGGCCAATACCAACCCTTACAAACCCTCAGCACGGAGCGAGGCCGAAGGAGGCTTCTTGGACTATTGGTTTTCCGGGGAGCAGCCACCACCAGCTGCTCTTCAACTTGCACTGCGCCGCACCACAGTCCTACTGCAAGTTCCTTGGCAACGGTTTCTCAGTAGCACCAGTCAATGAGCTTTACGACACTGATGCCTCTGGTTATTTATGTCCAGGCAGATCCACCAGGGTTGGGCCAAATCTTTTCTACCTGATTCTACCTGCGAAGAAAATCCTGTTGTGCTCAGCTTGCAGATCCCCGAAAACCTGCAAGCTTGGGCTCGAGCACACCGCAATTGTTCGGGACACTCCTGTCGCCACTGCAAGGATGCCTCTTGCAGTGCGACGTTGGCCTGCACTGTCTGCAGCGTGCCTGGCCGTTTCCCCCGTGTTTCGGTCTCACCTTCGTTTTCCACACAAGTGAGCGAGGAACCCAAACTCACCTTCAGCACAGCCCTCAATCCAAATGAGGGTCGGTGGGTTTTGCTCACCCAGAGACAGCAGGAATCTCTGGTGAGCAACAGGCTTGCGTCACCCCTCAAGCAATGCGAGGCTGCAACTCTCACTGTGACCCAGAGCAGACTGTAGGCCACAAGGTTCCCTCAGCAACGCGAGGACGAAAAGCTTCCCTCTAGCGAAGCGAGGCCGAAAACTGTGCACTCACGCCCTTCGTCGACGGCAGCAGTTGGCGGGCCGCCGCTCTATGACAGCTTAGCCGGTCAGCCGGCCTACGAGCAAACACAGTTTTGCCAGGCCTCAAAACGGAACCTACCCTTAGTTACAAGCCCCAGGGCCAGCCACAACGGCACTAAAGACGCTCTCTACCTGAGCACCCCACCGGGGTTGAGCCGAAACCTTGAGCCAGACAGGAACTTTCGTCTGCACGCTGCGAGGCGTAGCCACCCGAAGGGGCTGTGGGTTCAAGTGAAACAAAAGCTTACTAAAACTGTGGGGTGAAACTGCCGGTAAGTTCCCCCTCTCATTCCTTGTCCTCGGTTTTGACGTACCGCTACCCTCAACCGAAGTGAGGCCGGAATGTCGTTTTGACCAAGTCGTTGCCATTGGCTTGAAGACTTTGGCCAAGGCAAATTGCCTGTATGCTTGCACATTCTCTGTGTTGTCTATTCGGGAGGTGATCCATGCCCTCGTTCGTGGAGGCCGCTATCCCTCAACCGAATGGAGGTCAATTCCTGTAGACCCAGATGCTCGTTCTACGAGTCTCATTGCATGTCCTGAGTGCTTCCATCCACACCCCTCAACCGTAGTGAGGCCGGACATGTCTTCAAACCAGGTCATGGCCCGAGGCTTCATGGACTCTGGTTACGGTGGCTGCCTCTTGCATGCACAGGGCATACTTCCTGTGGCTTTTGCCGGGAGGTGATCCATGCCCTCCGATTCTCAGAGGCCGCTATCCCTCTACCAGCGGGGTGGTCAATCCCCATAGACCGTTCCATATTGATTGAGGCCCAATTCTGCACTTTCTCGTCATCTCACCTTGACGGATCCATGCCCTCGATTCACACATCTCCAACACGAGCCAAGCAGGAGGAACAGGTGAAGTACCTGCCCAAACATACCCCTTTTTAGGCTGGAGGACGCTAAGCGACCGAAATCGCCGCTACGCACCGGTGACCCCACGCCACACACCTTCAACAGGTGGCCGGTACAGGCGCCTGACAGGGGGCCGGGCAAGGTGCCGACTACCAGGTCAAACCCACCCTGCCTGTGAGGATATTATGTACGAGGCCGCTATCCATTGTGAGACTTGACATTCTCCAATCCAGCCGTAGCCATTGTTCCAAAGACAGTCGGCTGGCTCTCTTGTTTGCCACCAAAACTCCATACTCTCACTTGGGAGTCGATTACCCTCAACCGAAGTGAGGCCCACTCTGCGACCACGGGTTAGCTGCATGCTTGGTCCTTGTGGGCATTTCTGAAAGCAGTGACAACGAATCCTCCACGGAGTACGTCCCGGCTAATCCAGGGTTCTCAGCAGCTCCGGTGTTCTCGCACTTACTAACCGTGCCTTGCTGTTCTCCCCAGAATCGCCCTGGCTTTCTCGCACTTACTTACCAGTCGACGTATTCCTCACCACAAAGTTCACTGCCATTGGGACTCGAGGCTTCTCCAGTGCAATGCTGGTACCTGCCCTTTGCTGGCCTCCATGCCTGGCCAGTGTCCCTCATCCATATTCTGGAGTTTGCTCTTTATAGCTCACATTCCCTCAGACCAAAGTCGAGGCCGAATGTTGCATTGTTTGATTGAGCACTGCTGGGCTGCGGTTGTACCTATCAATTGCTCCGACACACCGGCACCGCGGAGTCTATGCTTCAAGCTGCTTTACCGCTTTGCGCCCAGTAGCATCAGCCGTCCAAGCTGCATGCAGTGCTTCCAGAGTCTCCCAGACTCAATTCCGGCAGACCAATAAGTGCCCGGCCTGCCCATTCCATCATTCTTCCCTCAGCTGATGCGAGGCCGGAACATCATGCACCTTCTTCATCAGCGAGGCGTTTTCGCAACCCTTCTGTTGTTCCCTCAGCCTTGGCGAGGCCGAACCATCCATTCCCTCAGCCGAGGCGAGGCCGAACCTTTACTCCAGCATAGCGAGGCCGAAACTGCCCTTGCATAGCCTCACATGGCATCTCCGCTGGTTTCACGGGTTCTGAAAGCATTGTGCTGCGAGGGTATGTTGATCACCCTCATTCCGGCAAGCTAAGCCTGCATTCGGGTTTGCCCTCACATGGCCCTTAATGGCGAGGCTGTGCTCGCAATTCAATCCACTTCCACTTGCCTGGTTACTGGCCGGCGACGTTTCATCACCTCAAAGGAGCATCCATTCCTCATCATCTTCCGACAAGGCCAGCATCCTTCTCTACACATCAGGGCCATACACCATAATCACCAGCCTACCCAGGTACCTGATTTCACGTCCGCTGCCATCAATCATCAGGGATGGGTTTGTGGGATCGACATAGAAATCGATGTTCCAAAGCCTCGCATCCTCACAGCATCGGAAATCCCGGAGCTGCAGGTGGAGGTTAGCTGCATTCAGGCTTCTTTGGACACTCCAATTCCCACAGCTGCCCCAGGCTATGTTGCCTCTCCTGGTGCGACGGACAAAGTGGATACGATATGACTGCGACAGTTCCAGGAAAAGCCCTTCACGACGCCCCTGGTGTGACCATGCAAATACACAGCACGCAATTGCCGGCATGGTCCGTCGCTCTCCGTCTGCCTTGCAGCAAGTCTCTTTGGCGTGTGGCACACTGTCCAGGGCACTGTGGACGGCCACTCTGGTCGCCGATAGCCCACGAGCGGAAATCTGCGGTTGAGACGGGGCCCTGTTCCAACAAAGGAAGTTAAGGCCTCGGAACCCTCTTCGCTCGCACAGGTCTGCTATCTTCTTGCACCTCAGTTCCAGGAGGTGTTTCCCTCAACCGTGGTGAGGCCGAACTATGTTGTCCCTCCGAGCGAGGCCGAAGACTTTCCACAATCCTCAGCTTATGCGAGGCCGACAACACCCTCAGCAGCGAGGTCGAAAGTTCCCTCAGCACTCGGCGAGGCCGTACACAGGCAGCTATGTGGCTGGCAGAACTACCGAGCAAACACAGTGGTTTCGGTTTGAGTCCTGTTGGAGCCCACCCTTAGGTACAGCCTCCAGGCCACCGAACAGCTCACTACCTGCGCACCCCACCGGGGTTGAGCCGAGACTTGAGCCAGACAGGAACTTTCGTCTGCACGCTGCGAGGCGTAGCCACCCGAAGGGGCTGAGGTTAGAGGGTGAAACATACAAACTACAAACTCTGCACAGTGAGACTACCGGTACTAGCCCTCACTTCCCTCAGACATTTGTCGAGGCCGAAATCCATGCTCTCATACCGTGGTCAAGGCCGAAATTCCCTCAGGACTTGCCGAGGCCGAACTTCCTTCATTTGCACCCCTCAGACCAGAGTCGAGGCCGAAACTCCTCAGGCAGCACGCCGAGGCGGTATTTCTTGAGTCGGTTGGTGCTTCTCAGACCACTAGCCGTGTTTCTTTCTGGGCTACGCTGCTCACTCATCAGCTTCGTCATGTGGCATGCCCAGCGTGATTTTCTGGATCTCTGTTGCCGGAACCGAAAGGTTTTGCAATCCCGGCATCCAGCAGGTGCTGGGCAAATGGCCCGACATTGCCTACGCACGCCATCCAAAGCGCGCTGGCCTTGCCGTCGTACGTTCTGACCAATCCACGTATGGTTGCCAGTAGCTCCTCATCATACTTCTCCAGGAGGCGTACAAGGCCGCTTGATAGCTTGTATCTATCCTCCTGCAGCGTCGTCCACTCCGCCGTGTCAAAGAACACTGCCCGTGGTAACGATCCTGACATTGGGTCGCGCCCAACGTTGCTCACCGTGACATCCGATAGAGCAACTCCTTGCATGGTCAGCCATGACGTTATAGCCACCAGGTAAAACAGGGACTGTCTGAGGATCCCGGCTTCATGGCGATTTTCCTGCCACCATGTGTTGAACAGCTCTGCCCTGCGGATGATACTTCCATAGAAGTAGTGGTGGCAGTAACCCTCCACCGCTTCGTCGAAAAGGACTCCAATCCATCCTGCCCACAGGGTCCTGGTGACCAGGGTGGGGAATTGTTCCCCATACCCTGCTTCGTTGCCAAAGCTCTGGGGTTCCATCGCCAGTTTCATGACCCATAGCCGATCCAGAGCATATCCTCGTCGAGTGCGCCCTGCACCTATGAAGGGAAGCACCCTAGGCTGTAAGCTTTGCCCTGTCGTTGGGTTGCGGACCAATTGGACCTCCCCAAGCCAATGGAGCGCAGTCCTTGGCCTTTGCTGGTTCTGCAGTTTGTGCACCAAAAGGTGCACAGGCTTGGCTTGCCCCATGTCTTCCTTTTTCTCCTTTCCCTCAGCTTCCTGCGAGGCCATATTGTGGGCACCTGGCCCTTCCGCCAGCGTGACTGTACGAGGCTCGCTTGCCTCTTGCTCTGTATTGACACCCTCAGCTTGGTGCGAGGCCGCTCTGTCTTCTCCTCTCTCCCGTAGGCGTACCGGACCCACCGGAGATTCCGAAGCACTCTCCTCTTCCCTATCCCAAGGCTGCTCCGGGTGTCTGGCCTGTCGAAGCGGGGAACGTTCTCGGGGCGGGTCCTTTTGCTTGTTCTTGCTTTTGCCCTTGCCTTTGTCCGGCCGATTCCTTAACCAGGATGGCAATCGGGACCCTTGTCTTCTCATCGTAGCATCCGTCTTCCATTGCCTCATTGCTAAAGGCCCACCTTGAGGATGAGGACGCCTTGTTCCACCCTCAGCTCTGCGAGGCCGAGGCCTCCTCTCTTTCCCTCAGCGGTGTCGCAAGCACGCGGCACCGCGAGGCCGAGCTACACTCCCTCAGCAAAGCGAGGCCGTAAACACCAATCGCAATTCCCCGTTGCGAGGCCCTCACCCTCAGCTACGAGGCCGAACCCTGTCTCCTTGCACCAAACGGCTGCGGATTTACTGCGTCCCCTCAGCTTGGCGAGGCCTAACAAACAATGACATCTTCTGCTGTGCGCTGGCTTGGGGCTTAGCTTTGGCGTGTTTCCCACCAAACTGAACGCGAGGCTGTTGAAACTGGACGTTGCTCATACTTCCACCATTGACAAGGGTTTGCGCTTGGGTAGCCAGCTTGCCCTGAGAAGTCCGCGATTTGCACTCCCCCGCCAGGCTTTTATTGCACTTCTGGCTGACCGGTGCATGTGTTCGGTCACACTTTGTGCAAACCCAACGGATTCCCAAATTCACCATATTATGGGAGGGGTGGATACCCCACTCTTCACGCACTCGCGCCTCCGGCTGGTTGACGCAGTACTGTTCCAAGACCACCTCCAAGTTCGTGAGGGTTTGTTGTACATACAACCCGCACAGTTGACATTTCAGTGTTAAATTCCGGGGGTGTTCGCTGCCCTTCTCCCATTGATGCCCGCGCTCCGGGTTTTTCAGCAACTGCCAAAGCCGCTGGCGTTTGTTGAGTTTGGCGTTGCCCTGCTCTTTTTTGCATCCCTCAGCTTTCTGCGAGGCCTCCATCTTCTCTTTGTAATGGGCATGGTCCAGGATGAAGGGGAAGTTTTCTTCTTTGCGCGTCCTCAATATGTGGGCTGCGCGTGCGCCGTACGCTAGGGAAAGTGTGCGCACCACATTGTCCAACTCTTTGACACGCCTCTTGTGCGCTGGGCTGTAAGCAGCCGCCGCAACTGCACCACATACTTTGTCTGCCATGTCATTCGCTGCACGCCGCCACAACGTGCCCGGCCCCATCTTCGCCAGGAATTCCTCTTCAGTTTTGTGGGACGGGACCCAGGTTGCCTTGATACGTTTCCTGTCATTCCACACTTTGCTCCATTCCAGGTCATCCTCCGGCGGTTGTGTTTTTTGTAGCACTTGGACTGCCGGCTTACAATCCATAGTGACATCAATCAGATCCTCCGTGTGCTCCATTAGTCGGAAAAGTGCACGGTGCTCCATGTCCACCACCGGCTGCCACGGGTAGACCAGCTCTGTAATCCGTCCGGCTTCCACCAGGACACCTTTTGTCCAGGACAGAGCCACCACTGCGAGGGCTGATGTTTGTACACGTGGGTCTATTCCTCCTGGACCTCCACTTGCGTCAGTGGCGAAGATCAAGCCTTCCGCTTCCACTTTTGCATCTGCTGCAAAGCATCCTTGGTAACGTAGACCTAAAAGGTGTTCCGGTGGCTTCGGGTGCCACACCGCCGGCTTTGGCAGGAGTGCCCTTGTCCACAGACACTCCCATGGGTATTTGTGACGCAAGTATTCCTGGAGCTTGGGTTCTTTGAACCCTTGTTCACGCCAGTAAGGACATTCTTTGAGGACATGCTCCAGAGTTGCTGGCATTTGGCACTTCCTGCACCATCCTGGCTTGGACTCCGTGATGACGCCCGCGTGCCACACTGACTTTATACCTTCCATAAGGCCTGGGCTTAGGCCTCCCAGCTTCGTCAACTTGTGATGCGGCGTCCAATCCAGCCCCTCTTGGGCACCAGCGCCACCTGCCTGTCGCGCTATCGCAGCCCGCTTCTGTTCCTCCAGGAATCCCTCAAGCCATTTGTAGGCGAGGCTACCCATGCGTGGCTGGGTCCAATCAACGTTGAGGACACTACCTCTCTTCCATTTGCCTGGGTCACTGGCATCTACCTTCAGATCCAGTAAGTACGCCATGGTTGCAGCCATCGGCCCCGTGACCAGTGGCCAGTGGTGTTTGGCCGCACTCAACCTCTTCCAAGTGGTTTTCCAGGCCAAGTCAAAGTGGGCTTTTCCGCCACCGATCCATGCACGGAAAACTTTGGCCACCACTTTGAAATGCTGCTTGTGGATTGTGCGCTTTGGATCCTGGCATTTCTTGGCTCCCATGTCCAAGATGGTTTCCAAACTCCCAAGCTTGTATTTACCCAGGTGTTTTCCTACCACTGTTCGGAGCCATTTCATTCTTTTGGGTGAAACCCCCACAGAGGGGTGCCCCCACAAAGCAACTGATGTGATCGCTGCCTTGACCACGCGGAGTTTAGTGCTGGGCGGCGGCCCCAGCCTAGACAGTTTGCTATGTCTCGCACGGGCTTTCTTGGCCCGCGTTGCCGACGTCACCAAGCGACGCTTTCGCCCCCCTGTACTGTCAACGCCCAGGTCACGCATCACGTCGTACACCTGTGGCTCATGAGGCAGCAGGAGTTCACGCAGGTGCTTGCTCGCCTGGGTACTGCTGGCCACAAACCCCGTCTTCTTGGATGAAATCGTGAAACCATTAGCATCCATCCCGTCCTTTAAGCTGCGGTAGACCCGTATGGCACTATCCGCCACGTGTTTAAAGGACTTATGCTGGATGTCAATTGAGACATCATCCAACCAACAGTCCACGTTTGCCACATCTCGTCGCCTTTGGATCTTGTCTATCACCGGGTGCAGTGCCACCTTTGCTAACGATGGCGCCGCTGGGCAACCCGCTTGCACGCCATTTGTAGCTCTGATGCCTGCCGATAGCACCCCATCCGCCACCAAGTATCTGGCACCCATGTACACTTCCAGTGCCATCTTCAGGATAAGCGGTGGATATTGCAGGGCCGTTGCTGCCATGATCAATTGCTGAAATTGGATGGTATCGAAAAAGGACTCGAGGTCCACAAAGAGTGACACCACATGTACTCCATTTGTCTTTGCCACCTCATTTCGCAGTAGTCTGCCGACGGCCACGTCCAAGCAGCAACTGCCTGGGACTGCCTTGTCGTACGTGGCAGCTGTGGCATAGCCTGCCTGCCAAGTACTTACCAAATCCCATCGCAGGCGGACCCAAGTCCTGTACAGGATGTGTAGCAAGGCGATTGGTCTTTCCCGGGTCAGATTCTTCGGCAGCATTGCTATAAGGGAGACTGTCATTTGCTGCGGCCATGCTGCCTTGGCCTCACATTCATGGTAGAAGGACACAACGGCTTCAACTGCTTTATCGTCCATGGCCTGCAAATGGTCAATCCTCCAGCCATCCGGCCCCGGGCTCTTTAGTGCCAGTTTTTTGATCCTTGCCTTGACCTCGACAGGGTTCAGCGGCTCCACGCTGGCCGCTTGTTTTTTGGCTGCATCCTCAAGCTCCGTCATGAGCGAGGCCGATTTTGCCAACGGCTGGCCCGTCGTCCACACTGCCGCCCAGTGGTCTCGGCGAATGTGTGGCCGTTCCAGCATGTCATATTCCATGTAGGGTCTTTGTACCACTTGTTCTTCTTTTCGCAAGGCATTGTATAATGGTCGCATGCCCTTTTCCATGGCCTTACTGAGCCATTGCTTGTACTGGTGGGCTGTCTCCTCCATATCCGCCTTTCTCGCGTAGCATTGCTGTTCGTCGATGCGCTTCAGAACAAGCCTAGCGTCCGTACCCCGGCCCAGGATACTCGCAAGCATATCCTCCTGGTTCTGCGCATCGCCCTCGTAATACTCGCCGAGCCTGCGTTGGACCAGACGCGCCACCGGATGTGCATCGCCATGATGTCTGCCTTGTTTGACCCATTGTTGGACCCGGTTCCAAAAGGCCGCCCTCTTGCCCGTCCAGACAACGTTCTCCGGGTTGTTGACCACCAATTTCTTACGCACAATCTCCGATTTCACACCCATACCATCGATTCGGCCTGTGATCGACCTCTCCACACCGGCACTCAGGTGAGCAAATGTCTCACTGAGCTCATCTTCCATCTTGGGTTCATCCAAGATGTTGATGCTCTGTGTGTTTTGTACTGGTTCATATTCCACAGTCTCCGTCACCAGTGCTCCCGCCTTCTTCATCTGGGGAACATCAGGGCTACTGCACGGTTGGGCCACCCTCCAATGCATTGCAGCATGAGGCCGAAAAGGGGTTTCCCAATCCGTTTTCACTTGAAGGATGGGCACCAAGCATTTCGCAACCAGCCCGTAATCGATTTCGTCCGATCCTTGGGCCGTTGGTTCCCCCACTCCAACAAATGCACCACCAACTTCTGTCGCCAGAGTTGTGCCCCTCATGGTATCCTGGGCTTCATTCCAATCACCCAGCACCATATATGGCACTTTGCAGCCCTTGAGAAAGGCTATCAGTCTCGCCAGTACTTGGATATTGTTTGGAGCCTGGAATCCGACCCCGCTCTCCAAATACAGACTGACGATGATCAAATCCCAGCCTTTATTTCTCATGGCACATGCCAGGAAGCCCGCCGGTCCTGTCCCATACTCAGTAAGGTATCGCAGGTTCCTATGTCGGGGTGCCACCACTGCCAGGCCTCCTTGTACACCCTTAGTTTTTGTACTGCCTGGCATGCCAATGAAGGTGTATCCCATATCTTGGCAATGGCTCATGGCTTGCTGGATACCCTCTGTCTTGAGATGGGTTTCCTGCAGCACCACCAGGTCCGGTCCTAGTTCGTGTATCCATGCCGCTATGGGTTTCCTCCAGCTAGTGATGTTAGCCGAGGTGATTTTGATGCATTCGGCCCTATCATCTTGGCGATACCCACTTGCCACATCTGCCAAGATCCACTTGGCATATTGTGCGTCCTGCTCCACAAAGGAACGAAGCACTTCGTGGCATGCTCGTTGTTGTAGCGGGTTGAGTTCCTGCTCTTCCAGTTTCTCAATGGCTTCGAGTGCGGCAGCCTCACTGGAAGCATCATATCTACCCACCACTTGACACAGCATTTGCCACTCCTGTGGTAGATCCTTAGGTGGTGCTCTTGGGTGCGCTTTCCGCTTCTTGGGCTTTTGCTTCCTTTGGTGACCCTCAGCACTTTGCGAGGCCGAGACAGGAACTTTCGTCTGCACGCTGCGAGGCGTAGCCACCCGAAGGGGCTGTGGGTTCAAGTGAAACAAAAGCTTACTAAAACTGTGGGGTGAAACTGCCGGTAAGTTCCCCCTCTCATTCCTTGTCCTCGGTTTTGACGCACCGCTACCCTCAACCGAAGTGAGGCCGGAATGTCGTTTTGACCAAGTCGTTGCCATTGGCTTAAAGACTTTGGCCAAGGCAAATTGCCTGCATGCTTGCTCATTCTCTGTGTTGTCTATTCGGGAGGTGATCCATGCCCTCGTTCGTGGAGGCCGCTATCCCTCAACCGAATGGAGGTCATTCCTGTAGACCCAGATGCTCGTTCTACGAGTCTCGTTGCATGTCCTGAGTGCTTCCATCCACACCCCTCAACCGAAGTGAGGCCGGACATGTCTTCAAACCAGGTCATGGCCCAAGGCTTCATGGACTCTGGTTACGGTGGCTGCCTCTTGATGCACAGGGCATACTTCCTGTGGCTTTTGCCGGGAGGTGATCCATGCCCTCCGATTCTCAGAGGCCGCTATCCCTCTACCGGCGGGGTGGTCAATCCCCATATACAGACCGTTCCGATGAGGCCCAATTCTGCACTTTCTTGTCATCTCACCTTGACGGATCCATGCCCTCGATTCACACATCTCCAACACGAGCCAAGCAGGAGGAACAGGTGAAGTACCTGCCCAAACATACCCCTTTTTAGGCTGGAGGACGCTAAGCGACCGAAATCGCCGCTACGCACCGGTGACCCCACGCCACACACCTTCAACAGGTGGCCGGTACAGGCGCCTGACAGGGGGCCGGGCAAGGTGCCGACTACCAGGTCAAACCCACCCTGCCTGTGAGGATATTATGTACGAGGCCGCTATCCATTGTGAGACTTGACATTCTCCAATCCAGCCGTAGCCATTGTTCAAGACATTCGGCTGGCTCTCTTGTTTGCCACCAAAACTCCATACTCTCACTTGGGAGTCGATTACCCTCAACCGAAGTGAGGCCCACTCTGCAACCACGGGTTAGCTGCATGCTTGGTCCTTGTGGGCATTTCTGAAAGCAGTGACAACGAATCCTTCACGGAGTACGTCCCGGCTAATCCAGGGTTCTCAGCAGCTCCGGTGTTCTCGCACTTACTAACCGTGCCTTGCTGTTCTCCCCAGAATCGCCCTGGCTTTCTCGCACTTACTCACCAGTCGACGTATTCCTCACCACAAAGTTCACTGCCATTTGGACTCGAGGCTTCTCCAGTGCAATGCTGGTACCTGCTCTTTGCTGGCCTCCATGCCTGGCCAGTTTCCTTTATCCATATTCTGGAGTTTGCTCTTTCCATATCTCACATTCCCTCAGACCTAAGTCGAGGCCGAATGATTGCTTTGTGTGATTGAGCACTGCTGGGCTGCGGTTGTCTTCTATCAATTGCTCCGACACACCGGCACCGCGGAGTCTATGCTTCAAGCTCTTGACCGCTTTGCACCCAGTAGCATCAGCCGTCCAAGCTGCATGCAGTGCTTCCAGAGTCTCCCAGACTCAATTCCGGCAGACCATTCATGCCAGTGCCCGGCCTGCCCATTCCATGTCATGCTCGCAATTATCAGTCCCTCTTGTGCCCATGCGGCATCTTTTCCAGGAACTGCTTGCCATCATTCTTCCCTCAGCTGAAGCGAGGCCGGAACATCATGCACCGTTCTTCATCAGCGAGGCGTTTTCGCAACCCTTCTGTTGTTCCCTCAGCCGTGGCGAGGCCGAACCATCCATTCCCTCAGCCCGGCGAGGCCGAACCTTTGCTCCAGCATAGCGAGGCCGAAACTGCCCTTGCATAGCCTCACATGGCATCTCCGCTGGTTTCACGGTTCTGAAAGCATTGTTCTGCGAGGGTATGTTGATCACCCTCATTCCGGCAAGCTAAGCCTGCATTCGGGTTTGCCCTCACATGGCCCTTAATGGCGAGGCTGTGCTCGCAATTCAATCCACTTCCACTTGCCTGGTTACTGGCCGGTGACATTCCATCACCTCAAAGGAGCATCCATTCCTCATCATCTTCCGACAAGGCCAGCATCCTTCTCGACACATCAGGGCCATACACCATTATCACCAGCCTTCCCAGGTATCTGATTACACGTCCGCTGCCATCAATCATCAGGGATGGGTCTGTGGGATCGACATAGAAATCGATGTTCCAAAGTCTCGCATCTTCACAGCATCGGAAGTTCCGGAGCTGCAAGTGGAGGTTAGCTGCATTCAGGCTTCTTTGGACATTCCAATTCCCACAGCTGCCCCAGGCTGTGTTGCCTCTCCTGGTGCGACGGACAAAGTGGATACGATATGACTGCGACAGTTCCAGGAAGAGCCCTTCACGACGCCCCTGGTGTGACCATGCAAATACACAGCATGCAATTGCCGGCATGGTCCGTCGCTCTCCGTCTGCCTTGCAGCAAGTCTCTTTGGCGTGTGGCACACTGTCCAGGGCACAGTGGACGGCCACTCTGGTCGCCGATAGCTCACGAGCGGAAATCTGCGGTTGAGACGGGGCCCTGTTCCAACAAAGGAAGTTAAGGCCTCGGAACCCTCTTCGCTCGCACAGGTCTGCTATCTTCTTGCACCTCAGTTCCAGGAGGTGTTTCCCTCAACCGTGGTGAGGCCGAACTATGTTGTCCCTCCGAGCGGGGCCGAAGACTTTCCACAATCCTCAGCTTAGGCGAGGCCGACAACACCCTCAGCAGCGAGGTCGAAAGTTCCCTCAGCACTCGGCGAGGCCGTACACAGGCAGCTATGTGGCTGGCAGAACTACCGAGCAAACACAGTGGTTTCGGTTTGAGTCCTGTTGGAGCCCACCCTTAGGTACAGCCTCCAGGCCACCGAACAGCTCACTACCTGCGCACCCCACCGGGGTTGAGCCGAGACTTGAGCCAGACAGGAACTTTCACACCCCCGCTTGGACTGTAATGCCTCAGAGCCACGCACTTCTTCACAGCTCGGTGTTTCCAGTGCTTAAACATCTCATCCCAGGCAAAGTCCGAAAGCGAGCACTCCTACTGCCGACCTAAGAAGGTGTTCCTACAAGACCTAACGTGACTTTCGCAGCACGCAAAAGAGCTCTACCCAGTCTAGTCGGATAGATGCCCGTTTCTTCGACACTAGCAAGTGAAACATGCTGATGACTTTTGTCACAGGGCTTTCCAGAGAAGATTTCACTCCACTCCTCTCGGTTGGTAGCAAAGAACCACCGCTTAAAGACCCCGTAGAAGGCACAACGGTCCACAACCCTTCCAAAGTTCAGACCAAGGCGCTTCTTTTCTCTCAGATAACTTTCCTCCTTCCAAAGACCACAGTTCTTTGGCCATTCCTGGGTAACCAGGATCTCTTTGCAGCGGTCCTCCAGAAGTCTTCCTAAAGCTTTCCAAGATGCAACATGCTTCTTGACCTGCTCTCGCCACCGATGTCGAAACTTCGGTCGATGCCAATTCTTAAAGCGGTAGCTACATCCAGCGGTACACGGGGAAGCTTTGTGGACATAGATCTGGGGCGGTTTCCTACTCAACAGACACAGCAAGACCTCTCCTAGAAACATCTGAGTACTCTTGCTTAAGAAGTCCTCTTTCTCAGTTATGCCTATATACGCTACTCGGTCACGAGCACACGCTCGGCACAACGCACTGTCCGTTGAACAAAACACCTCGATCACAAGCAGAGGAACAGATCCCAACGCAAGGTCTCTCGCCACGGGCTCGTACTTCGCCAGGTTTGTCGGGATTTTCTCAAGCTTTTCACATACTTCTTCAAGTTCTTCCATTCGTTCACGAAGGTGTTCAGGAACTACAAGACCCTGAAGGTCTTCTTCACACACTCTTTCCAGTCCACACGCAACCAGCAAATGCTCAAGCAACAACTCCTCGGGAGATTTCGTCAGTCCATCGGCTGGATTCTGTTCTCCACTGATGAAGCTTAGAATCAGCCTTTCCAGGTGGACTAGCTCTTGAAGATAGCGATGACGAAGCTCCAGGTGCCGAACACGGCGTAACAACCCCGTCATCTTGCTAATCGACAAAGCGGCTTCCGAGTCAGAAGCCAGGTGAATCGGAAACTCACCGGTCTCTCCTTTGGGCATTCCATACAGGAGCGTTTCCATGAGCAAAGACAAGTACACCGACTCTTTGGCTGCCTCAGTCAGGGCTGCCAATTCGGCCTCCGCCGAACTCAACGCGGTCACCGACTGTTTCCGCGAGAAAGTTTTGATCATGATGCCATGCCACTTCACAATGGCACCAGACACAGAGCAAATGTTCCATGATGCATCCACAAAGCCAGAGAGCATTGTTTCCGAAGCGCAGCAAGGATACACAAACGCTTCTGCCGAAAATCGCTGAAGGTACTCAGGCAAGGCCATCACCCAGCGAACCACGCGTCTCAAGCAAGCTTCTGCCTGGCTATCTGGGTCACTCTGATACCGGCCCAGAAATCCTACTGGGTAGGACAAATGCGGCAACGTCAAGCTTGCCCACATCAACTTACCAAGCACACGTCTATATCGTTCATACGCCTCAGTGCTGATAGGTGTTCCAGCCTCCTTCTTCCGGTACTCCCTCTCGAGGTTTCCCAACACTGGTTTCACACCTTTTCCGCTAATGCCAAACTCTTCTCCAAGCGACTTCAAGTACCCCGGCTTCAGGCCAAAGAACACAGGTCCGTGCTCAGTGGTTCGGGCGATCACTCGACCCAAGAACTCGAGCTGCCCGGTCTTACCAGGTTCTAGAAGCCCTGTCTGCTTCATTTTATAGATCTTCGCTAGCTTAGCGTACAGATCCTTGGCAATTGGCGGATTCTGGGAAAAGATGATGAGATCGTCAACATACACTAACACCAAGGTCAGCGCACCATCCTTCTCAAG